GATGAAGATCACAGCCTTCAATATGGATTACATCTCAATGTAAAGAAAACAAAAATCCTCACCCCTAGACCAGTAAACCACATTCTTATCAATGGAGAAAAGATTGAAGTTGACAAGGACTCCATTCTTCTTGGATCAACTAACAACACTCACGGAAGCAGCAGTCAAGAAATCAAACGACATATTGCATTGGGCAAATATGCTGCACAAGACCTTTTTAAAGTGTTGAAGATCAAAGATGTCAGCTTGAGGACTAAGGTGCGCCTGACCCAAGCCATGGTATTTTCAATAACCTCATATGCATGTGAAAGCCGGACAGTGAATAAGGAAGACTGTAGAAGAATTGATGCTTTTGAGTTATGGTGTTGGAGGAGAATATTGAAAGGGCCATGGGCTGCCTAAAGAACCAATGAATCCATTTTGGAAGAAGTGCACCCAGAGTGCTCCTTGGAGGCCAAAATGACCAAACTTCGTCTCTCATACATTGGACGTATTGTCAGGAGGGACTAGTCGCTGGAGAAGGATATCATGTTTGGTAAGGTGGAGGGTCAAAGGAAAAGAGGAAGACACCCGACAAGATGGATTAGCCAAGTGGCAGCATCGATGGACTCAAGCGTGCCAACAGTAGTGAGGTTAGCACAGGATCAGGCAGTGTTTCGTTCTGCCTCACTATGGGTCAGTGCCGACTCGATGGCACCTAACAACAACAACTACACCAGGAGTCCTGGTGTGGCACTGTGGGTTAATGTGCCAGACTGTAAAGCCATTTGAACTGCAAGGTTGGCATTTCAAGCTCACCAGCTGCTCCTTGGAAACCCTATACAGGGTCGCTATGGGTCAGAATCGACTCGACGGCACTTCACAACAACACCTACTCATCTGTCAGTGTGTCCTACTGTGGTGACTTGTATGTTGCTACGGTGCTGGAAGCTATGCCACGAGTATTTCAAATCCAGGCAGGAACACCCATGGAGAACAGGTTTCAGACCAATATAGACTAGTTAGAAGCCGAGGCAGACCACTTCTGAATGGTGAGCCATTGAAAACCTTATGAATAACAGCCGAGCATTGTCAGAAATAGTGCCAGAAAATGAGCCCCATGGGTGGGAAGGCACTCAAAATGCGAGTGGGAAGGGGCTGTCTCCTCAAAGGAGAGTGCCCTTAACGACATGGACGGAACAAAGCTTTCAGAACCTTCATTTGCTGATGGGGTACATGCCAAAATGAGAGGAGGCAGGTATAAACATCAACTATATCAAGCTTGGTAAAGTGGAAGGTCAGCCAAAAAGAGGAAGACCTCCAAAGAGATGGATTAACACAGTTACAGCAAAAATGGGCTCAAATGTAACAATTGTGGGGATGGCACAGGACAGGGCAGTGTTTGTGTTCTGTTGTGTATAGGGTTGCTATGAGTTGGAACCAACTTGATGGTTCCTAACAACATCAACATAAACACTGGACTGCAAACCCTAAGGTCAGCAGTTTGAGCCCACCAACAAACTGCTCTGCAGGAAAAAAAGATAAGCTTTTCCGATCCTGTAAAAGATTTAGTCTCTGAAAGCCAATACTGGTTGCTCTGAGTCAGAATCAACTCCTCGGCCCTTAACAACAATAATATTGAAGAAGAAAACGACACAAAAGTGTACAACTTGATAAATTTTTACTAAATGAATACACCTGTGTCCCCATCACCCAGATGGAAAAATAAAGCGCTGCTAGCAATGTAGAGTCCTGGTGTGGCGCTGTGGACTAATGCACTGGACTGCAAACTTGGTTTGAACCAAAAGGTCAGTGGTTCAAGGTCACCCGCTGCTCCTCGGCAACCCTGTACAGGGAGGGTTGATCGGGGTAGGAACTGACTCGACAGCAGTTAACAGGAGTCATGGTGTGGCACTGTGGGTTAATGCACTGAACTGCCAACTTGGTTTGAACTGCAATGTCGGTGATTCAAGCTCACCAAATGCTCCTTGGAAACCCTTACACAGGGTCGCTCTGGCTCGGAACCGACTCGATGGCACTTAACAACAGTAGCAATGCAGATGTCCTGCTAAGCCCCTTGCAGCCACTACCCTTCCAAAAGTAACTACTATCTTGACTTCTAACCTACTTTTTGTACTTTATATAAACAGAATCTACCAATGAGCTCTTTTGGATCGGACAGCATTATATGTGCACGATCCAATCATATAATGGCATGTAAAAGATAGCTTCTTTTTATTGCTACTTCATATTCTATCCATTCTGGGTGGTTTCCAGTTTGGAGAACTTAAGATCCAATTCTGGTTTTGGACAACTACATTACTTTCTCAGTTTTGAGCCTTGGGGAAGATCACAGTTTGTGAAATTTTCTCCTGGTAACAATCCTGAAAGAAAATAACATGCAAACTCTCCAAGATGGATCAAATGATCTCCCAACTGAACATTTCCCCCTAATGTAAACCAAACCTTGTCTCTTTCCATTAGTCACAATGAAATCTACACATTAAGTTCTGCACACAGAATTGCTTCATTACTTCACAGACACACATTTAAAATAATACATCAAAGACAGTTATACCTCTGAATACAATGGCCATTTTTACCAGGGGTCTTCTCTGAGTGCTTACATTTTGCTCTTAGCATTAGTTTGTACTCAATGTTTATCTGTATTTCAAACAGTGGTTAGGATCATTCATGTGTTAAGTATGAGTATAGAATCTGTACCACACGGGGAAACATTAAAAAATGAAAAAAAGGTACAAGGCCCTAATCAACCTTTACACTGTTACAGATTACCAGCACCTTTCCCATTCTCCTCATCACCATTAGCTTGGCAGTTATGAGAGTAAAGAGAACCTACGCGCTGAGTTCTTTACTGAGTGTGGTTCATACTTACCACATACTATTGAGAGAGCATCCCTGGGCTCAGTCCCCAAGAAAAAAATCACTACCCCCTGTCTACCCCAATTCCACAGGATTAAGAACTAACCATTTATGTATCTTTCACAAAAAAGAAGAACTCTATTCCAAGCAACCTACCTGATTAAAAAAATAAAATTCTACCAACCAACTGATGGCATATGCCAAATGGGTACTCAGTGAAAATTAATTAAATCAAACGGGTACAGTATTGGACAGAGGGAAAAAAATCTGAGCACTCAAAAATATTTTATTGTAACCAGTGCTATGTTTAGGACAAAAGAATCAATTGTTGGCATAAACTGAGGTTTGTTCATCAAGCCGAAGGACTGATCCTAATAGGGCAATAATCGATTCTTTTCTCCTAAACATAGCACTGGTTACAATAAAATATTTTTTACTCCATTGAACTGCATTGATGGGGTTCAGTAGTATACAGAGAACGATGGACCCTGCCCACAGGACCTTTACCTTCTTCTTCAAGGACACTGAATTTATTTGTTTATGTGTGAGTCACTTGAAAACAGCAGAAATGGAAAAGGCGCCATGTGAAATTCTTAACATTTCATTTCTTACTCAGGCTTTTAAAATTACGGGGCTGTATGACCTTGGAGATGTCGCATGACCTTTACAAAGTGTGTCCACTTAGCTATTTTCCTCATTCAGAAGATGATCATAATGATATCTACCTATAGTACTATAAACTAGGAGATTAAGAGAATCAACATTATTTAAGAACTGTGAATACTTGCAAAAAATAAAAAACAGACACGGGAACTTCACAGAGTTCATGGACAACTTCCATTATCTTTTCATTCTACTTTCCCATTAACTTTCTGAGAACGACTCATATTTTGACACAAAGTCAAAATCGTACCATTTGAATTCAGTAACCTGAGTGGATCTAGAATAACTCTTCTCTCCACTGCCTAGGATTAAACACCTGTGCTGTGTTAACCAAACAAAAACTTAAAACTTCACTGACTTGCCCAGGAAGAAGAATAATTCAATCTAGGTACTAAATGAATAATGAGCTCATTCATTTTACCATGTGTCTGCTAGTTATTTTCTTTTCTTTTATTAAGTCTCGTTGGCAATATGTATAGCAAAAGAAACACTGGCTTCGAAGTCCAACAATCTAGATTGATTCTCACAACTTCAGACACCAATTATCCATTCTTTACCAACAGGTTTTATTTGCGATGGAGTTGTTTTGTTGAATCTACTCTACCAACTCCTGAATCTACTTTCCCACCTCATCATCCTATATATGTAGTTGGTGGTTATGTGCCGTGGAGTCGGTTCCAACTCATAGTGACCCTGTACAGGGTTTCCGAGGCTGTATATCTTTATGGGAGCAGAAAAAAACTCATCTTTCTCCCGC